AACTTGGTGATAGAGTTTAGGGGGCCAACTTAAAACTTTAAAATTTTTAAAAGTTTACATTAAAAGCTTCAAAATTTTTGAAAGAATCAATTTACAATTAAAAAAATAGGGTCTAACTAAAATTTTGAAAGGCTTAATGAGAATTTTTTTTAAATTATGGGAGAGATTTAATTAAGAATAATAATAAAAATTTAAAGACTAATATGAATTTATAAAAAATTTATGGGAGAAAAATTAAATATTTTGAAAATTTAAAGGTCTAAAGTACAAATTTAAATTTTTTTTTGTTTGAGGGCATGGCCCACACTAGTCTCCATTTTGTTTCGTCGTTGTCGACACCAATTTTGCATTATGTACTATAAGGAAGCCTTGTAGTATCGATACCCCTATTTGAAGTATTGGTACTTCTCTATTAAGGTACCAATACTGCCTTGGGTATCGATACTAAATTGTATTTGATGTTTGGAAAAATAATTCAGTATCGATACTCTTACTTAAGGAATCGAATACCTATACCAAATTTGGCTATTGTAATTTTTAATTTAACACTAGTACCAATACCCCACCTTTGGGTATCGATACCTAAAGAATAATATCTGATATCCTATGAACATGGTATCGATACTACTAAGCCAAAGATCCTTTGTTTTGATCATCTGAAGAACAATATCGGCACTGTTTGTCTAGTACTAATACTCAAGGCCAAAAATGCTATGTTTTAGCACGAAAATAAAACTCATCCTCACCCATAAGTCCCTCTAATGTTCTTAAATGTTATTTAAGGCTTATGTATGATTAAAGGGGTCATAATGATCGTTCTCATGTTGTATAACATCAAATGTCATAATCTACCATAGATGAACTTACATAATCTATGAATTCATATAAGCTAACTAGGCATATATAGTGATCTGCAAATGGTATAGATGAGTTAGAAATGTGTTACGTTGAATCCTAAGTTGTTGAAAACACTCAAGGTTCAACCAACAACTAAAGGTTCAACCAAGTGTTTGCTTCTCCTTTCCCTTGCTTTTGGAGGTTTTTCTAACTTCTTTCATCAGACAATGATCAAATACATGAGTTACTAACTTGTTGAAAAACTTATAAAGATGTTAAAAAAGTTTCCTAAGGCTCAAATCCCCCAAAAATGGGCTAAATAGCCATGGGTTTCTATACCCCTACTAAAACCTCTCTTATGGACACCATGGTCTAATAATGAGAAATGAAGCTTGAATTGGAGTTCTAGGTAGGGAGATTTTAAATTTTACATTCTCTAAATCATTCAAGGCTCATAGCATTATAAAGTTCTCACCTTTAATGGTGTAAGTTGAGAGGAAAATGAGAGAGATAAAGAAATAAAAAGACAAGAATGAAGAAAATAATGTGTGTCCAGTTGTGACCTCATTCCAAATTAATGGGATTCAACATTTGAAAACTAAAATGGGATAAGGTGTGGCCTCTCCAGATGTGGCCCCAAATAAAAATGTTCTATTTTATCACCATTTGGGCTCAACCTAAGCTCAAATCAACCCAAACTTGGGTTAAGACTTCTAAGAAGCTAATGGGATTATCCAAACCGCCTAGTCAGTCTAAACTACTAACTCATGATCCAGGGCATTACATTTCTATAATCGTAAATTTTAAGAAACTTTGAAATTTTCATGTTATGTTGTGTTTGAAAAAAAATATTATAATAGGTTAACCAAAGGTTAACCTAACTAGGGGTGTAAACGAGTCGAGTCGAGCTCAAGTATTGCTGAGCTCGACTCGACTCGAAAACTCTGAAATAGAGCTCGACTCGACTCAAAAACTCGCGAGCTTAACATTTTCAAGCTCGACTCGAACTCGAAATCCTAAAATGAAGCTCGTGAGCATCTCGAAAAGGCTTGAAATGGAAAAAAATTTCTTAAACTTAACTCAATTGAAGCCTCAAACTCAAACTCGAACCTGAACCTTAAATATATGAAAATCTTACTGTATTTTTAAAAAAAAATCAATACATAAATGTTGATATTATTAATAATTTATTTTAAAAAAAATAAAATCTTAATATATTATATTTTCGAGCTGCTCACGAGCTTTTCGAGTCGAATATCAAGTAGCTTGTTTCAGCTCGTTAAGAACTCGAGTCGAGTCCATTCAGTCCGAGTATTTATCGAGTCTTGATTGAGTCGATCTCAAATAGCTCGCGATCTGTATCGTCTCATTTACAGCCCTACATGTAACCGAACCGTTAATAACGGTTAACCATTACTTAATGGTTAGGTTATAGTTAACAAAATTTTATAACCGTTATAACGGTTAACCGACCAGTTGTGGATCCATAAATATTTTTTTTAGAGTGGGCACATATATGTTAATAACACAAAATTTTTGAATGAGATGTATATAAATAAATTTTCAGTGTGAACACCATCAATAAAATAAGTTATTAATCAAAAAAAATACATATTTCAAAGTAGACAAGTATCCATCATCGTCTTTTAATGAATCAGCCATTGTAACCTACCATTTAAACTAAACGGTTAACCGACCATAAATTACCCTTGCAATAATAGTTCTAACAATTGTTGCAACAGTAATCATCAGTTTTAGATTAATTATTTTATTTGTTAGTATTTTTATTATGATATGAGTTGTAATTTGTGATAAGATTGATTATTTTTTTATCATAATAATATGATTTGTAATTTGTGATAATAAATATGATTGATTAAACATTGTTTTTTTCTTTTTTTTAATAATCTGTTAAATATAAAGTAGTATTTGTTTAAAAATAACTCTTAATCATTTTGACATTAAACACTTACACCCATGATAATTTTAGTGCTCGAATTTAAGACTACAAAAAATGACAACAATTGTTTTAGCACCAAAATTACTTGATTCGTGCTATTATTTAAACAATTGACTGTCATTGAAACAGAATCGAATTGCATATTTGGGCATTTCATCATTTTATAAGGTAAACTGAATTGTTACCAGTCAATGTAACTAAAAGTTATGGTTCACTCTTAGTGCAAGACCCCACAAACGTAAATAAATTTATCGAATTACATAAAAAATATATATCCTTTTACATTTTTATTTTTACTTAAAACTTTTTCTTTATCCAAAATTTTATCTCAATATTTTTATGCCATATTTTTCTTATCTTATAATTTTTATTTATCCAGTAACAACATTAATCTTAATGTTATTGCCGGCCGCCGATAATTTTAGTTCTCTTATTTTTTATACTATATCTTTTGTTTTTCTTTTTTCTTGATTTTTTTCAATTTAAAATAAGAATCCTTGTGACACTTTTTTATACTCTTGTAGCACGCGTTTTCTTTGCTCTTAACGCACGTTCCTTATGGTTTTTGGTACTTTTTTAGCATACTTTTACAGTCGTTTTGGCACTCTCACAAAGACCCTAACAATATTTTTTTCGATTGGTTTATCAGTGGTCACGTAAAGTCATATCCCCTCTTTGGTAAAATGTTGTTTGTTGATATTATCAGAATTGTGTAGCGAAACAGTCTGTCCAACAATTTAATTCACTTATCACTCATTTACCACTTCATAAAATGTCTCGTTTAATAGAGACAATGAATTTTTATAAAGGTTACTGGTTTCTTTTGAAGTTGAGCGACATTCTCAAGGGAATGTTTCGTTTTTCATCGTATCTATGGGTTTAATATTTTTATTTTTGTATGAATATTTTTAAATTATTGTCCTCATTTTTTCTCTCTATATTTAGATATATTGTAATTTTAATTCTTTCCATTATTTTTATTGATAAAATCCAATTACCATTGTTAAAAAATCATAAAAATCAAAGTCACGACAAAAAGTTCAAATATCAGTTACAATACAAAAAAAAACTTGAACACAAGCAAATCAGCTCGCTTTCGATGTCTCCTTATATATTATAAGATTTTAACATATAGTTCATAGAATTATTATTTTTATTTTATTAATTTTTTTAATAAATTTTAAATCTAATCTTAATCCTATTTAGAGGGAGGGGAAGGGAGAAATTTAAGAAAATAAAGAAAATACTCATTGTGTGTCTAGAACTCATGACCTAAAGAAATCTAAAAGAATAGATAAACAGTTTAACTAATCAATCAAATATGTTTATTTAATTAGACATATATTCTACAAATTAATTTGTATGTTTATAATTGTTTTCACTCTCTTTTCAAGGAAAGGAAAGCAATATTTTTCCAATATTAATTTAATTAAAATATACGAATGAATGATTTTTGGGATTAAAATGTTGGGGGATGTCGAGTAATATCTCCCTTTTTAATTCGTGCTGTTGGTCTGCTATAAAAAAAATAAATTGAAAATCATATATATATATATATATATATATATATATATATAATTTTAGTGACGTATTTAAATTTTTCTACGAATTGATATACTGTAATAATATAAAAACTTTATATAAATTAATACAAATAAAATTTAAAATAAATATAAACGATAAAAGAAATAATTAATAAAAATTCAAATTTTAAAATAAACATGTATCAACCCTAAATAATAAGTGGATCCACCAGTGAATAATTAATGTATTGTTTAAAGTTAACTAGACAAACCAAATCAGTAACAACATTACACAGTTTTTTTTTTCTTTTTTTAATTGTAATAAGACAATAATTGTCACTATCAAGTTCCATCTTAATGGGACATGAAAACGAAGGTAGCAAATAAAGATATTGTCCACTTGCACAAGTTGACATATGAAAAAACTCAATGTCCAACCAAAAAAGTCTTATTCCTCTGTATCTAAACAGTAAGAAGAACAAAACGAGAGAACTCTGAAAATTTATCTTATGAATTTAAATTCCGGTTGCGATCATATTTATTACGATTATGATAATAGTAGATGTTATTAAAATGTAAGTGTTACAATCGTACAATAATAATTTTGGATAATTATAGAACGGCCGTTATTTCAATAACGGAATACCATTTGTATCCATGTTCCCGATATCTATAACTTAAAAAAATGTTAATTAGTGGAAGTAATTTACCAGAGAGTAGAACTCTCGGAAATGCTAAGAAGTTCCTCCAAGTAATCAATACCCAAATCCTCAAACACCACCACATTTTCCATCTTCATAATCTCCTTCTCTTTCTTCACCTTCTTCATCGTCATCGTCATCTCTTTTCTGGTCTTCAATGAGTGTCTTTTCTTCATCGTTAAAACAGGCGAACACCCTTGTTCGAATCTATAGTTCATTTCTTGAAGCGATTCGTAGACTTTGTCAATCGGGAAATTGAGTATAGCCATGGAACCTCGCATTGCCAATGCAGCTTGATCATACGCTAAAGCAGCAGCCTCGGCTGTATCAAAGGTTCCAAGCCAAACCCTAACACCATTCCTCGTCGAATCCCTTATTTCAGCTGCGTATTTCCCCCATGGCCTCCTCCTCACGCCTCTGTAAGAAACCTCCCTGGTCGACTCCTCTTCCTTCGCTTTCGAGCTCACTTCGTGATCGTCTCTCGAACTCGCCGTGGCTTCGTTTAGGAGTCCGAAGAGAAGCATCTCCTGTGAGTCGTTTTCATTGAAGGGAAGAGCTTGGTTATTAGGGTAATTGAATGAGTTTTCTTGAGAAACACAGGAAGAAGATGAAGAATCCATATTTATTTCGCTTTGAATGTGGTTGGTTATGTGATGGTCATAGGAGAAACATTTCAAAGCATGGGGATTATATATAGGGGGAAAAGATAACAAGTAATGACAAGGTCACAGATGAAAAACTGGTAACATACATGAATATTATTACAAAAGGGTTTTCAAACAAGCATTATTTGGTCGTTAATTGGACCCTCCAATGAGGTAGTTACACGTAAGTCAAAGGAACAAAGGGCCACGGCGGCCAGGTCAAACTAATTTTTTGGGTAAACTACACTATTAAAACCCAACTGTAACCCCTAAACCAACCTATTCGTTATGATTAAAACTAACGGATTATATTAAAATTTTCAAAACATTTTCGACAATTTAAAATAGTATTATAAACAATATCTAACAAAAACACATAGTTAATATTGATAAAATTCCAACGAGTGAATATAAAACCATCAGTGATTAAGTAAAATAAAATAGATCATAATTCAAATCGCAGTAAATTATAAAAGCAAGTATTTCAAAATAAGACACATGTCACTATAAATGAAAGCAGTTCGGAAGATAGAAACATTACAACAAAATGTTATTTAAAAAATGTGTCGATTTTCCAAGTGCCTGGTTCGGGGTGGCTATCCAAAAGTATATGAAAGGGAAAAACAGTTTTAAAATGGTGAGCTAGGTGGCTCAGTGTGTTCCTTATGTGTTATATACATGTTTTATCTGTTTTGAAATGTGTTTTATGAAATTACTGATTTATCAAACTTTTAAACAATTATGATATGATCTACAGGTTTCTGATTTTCTAGAAGATTGTATATAAACTATGATTGTTCGATATATGTTATATCGTTACCTATTTCAATAGAGGATATGAATATGTCGATTTACAGATTGTTGATCTCATTGTTTATTATGTGAACTGCTTTATTGAGAATCTATATTAGGTAGGATATTGGAGTATGGATGTTCATCACTGATCAAGCTGGTAATACCTTACGGACCCTTGGGTAGGCTCCGAGGCCCCGAAAACTTTCTTGAGTAGGTTCTCAGGCCCCAAGGTACTCCCTTAGGATGGCTCATATACCCAATGGGTGTAAGGTAGCCCTTATGGATGCAGTTTTGGGGGAACTGCATTTTGGTGTAAGGGAGGAGGGTAATTACGATTTTTAAATTCAACTTATCGATGACCTTTATGAAACCCTAGTGAAACATTTATTGATTGTTTTATCTATTATGTTATACTTACACCATTAGAACACGTTGAGCCACATTACTCACCATTTTAAAATTGTTTCCCATTTTTAGATACTTTTGGATAGACACCTTAAACCAGACACTTGGAGGATCGACACATTTTTACAGAGCATTTTGTTGTAATATTTTTATCTTCCAAACTGCTTTCATTTATGGTGACATGTCTTTATTTTGAAATACTTGCTTTTATGATTTTTACTACGATATGAATTATGATGTATTTTATTTTACTTAATCAATGATGGTTTTATATTCACTCGTTGGACTTTTATCAATATTAACTATGTGTTTTTGTTAGATATTGTTTATAATACGGTTTTAAATTGTATAAAATATTTTGGAAATTTTAATGTAATCCGTTGGACCTAGTCGTAACGCATATGTTGAGTTTAGGGGGTTACATTTAATTATCACTTTTGTTCTGTATTGCTCATCAAAGTATTTTTTTAAATCATACATAACGTTTAGTTTTAGTTTCATTTCGGTTACCTTCCGTTAAAATATTAATGGTGATGATGACGTATCATCATATGATAATGTAACATCATCATTAGAAGAAAATAAAAAAAATTATCATATCATTAGTTCTATTAATTTTTTAATAGTTAATTTTGTTGTTTGAAGTGGTTTTTCATTGTTGTCAGGTTGAGTTGACTGTCTCAAAGTGCCTTATCGATTTTGGTTGATGGTTGTCGGGTTTGTAACTCTTTGAGCTTTTACCTAGTTGTGTTGTATTATTTTCCTCCATATAGGTTAGATAAGTTTTTAATGAGACATACAACCTAAGTTTTGAGATTGTTTGATTAATTCCTTAATAAAATTATATTTTTCGAGCCAAAAAATCAAAATATAACATTAGGTATGATTTTGAAAAAAAACATAGTTGAATCACAAAAATAGAACAAAAGTGATAGTTAAGATATTAAATGTGTAGTTTAACCGTTTTCTCCAATATCTGCCGTCAGCTGGATGATCTCATCAGTAGATAAAGAGGCTTTCGCACCCACTTGATACCAGAGGACGGGGGAAATGGTGGATGCATGTTTAACTACTCCATCTAAGTGCCTATATAGTCCAGTGTTGAAGCAATTCTTGGATACTTCTGGAAGATACAGATTGTGAATCTGAATGTGGAACGTCGGAAAAATGTCAAATCAAATTGAAAATTGTCATGGTTTTTGAGTTTTTATATTTTTATACATAATTAAATACAATTTTATCATTTGTAAATATTTATAATTATATGTTTTATGTGTTTGTGTTTAGAATCTATTTAGTGATTTTAGTGATAAATAGAGTATTATTGTTCTTTGAAGTCTTGTGCTCGAGTAATTGTATTTGCATAATGTGTATGTCTATTGTCAGTTGATTAAAAATTCCTGAATAGATATTACTTTGTAATCACTCCAGATTAATAAGAAGTTATTTTTTTATTTACTCGATAAAAGTGGATCAAGTTAATTTTTGTGCATGTTTAAGTATTTAACTTTTCTCTGCATAATTTATTGAGAAACTTTAATAGTAAAATAAAATATTATTTTTTATAAAAATTTAAAATTCAAATAACTATATCTGGTTTCAAAGGTACACAATTATAGTTTTCAAGAAATAATACACATGGTTGAATATTTCAAACTTTCTTTCCCAGAAGCAAGAAATTTAATAAGAATTAATTTATTTTCTCATTATTTAAAATCATTTGCACCACTATAGTTGCACGGGTGGGAGATTGATTTAGACAGTCGTACAAAACTAAAAAAAAGAGGTCTTCAAAGAAAATTGTTCTTCGGTCAAATTAATTTCCGTTCAACATTTCGCCAGCCTTTTGGGTTTCGAAAAGATTTTCATGAAACGGATTTTAAAAAGGATATTGATCAGAATATGTTTGATAAAAAAAAATCATTTCTATTAGAGATTTTAAAATTTAGAAAAAGTTATTTATTTTAATACAAGGGAGTTGTTTACACAATATATATTGATCAACGGTTCTATAGTCTTTCTCATAAATTCATTATAATACTCTTTAGAGTTAATTGCATCACATGTTCTCAAATTATGATCCTCGTTTTAAATTGTTCTTTAAGGTTTTAAATGTTCCACTTTCATCCCTGAATTATAACTACCATTATGAATTAGTCCTTAAACTTTTGAACATTTTAATTTCATCCCCAAACTATGACTTCCAATATAAATTGGTCCCCTACTTTTTGAATGTTCCGATTTCATCCCAAACTATATGTATATACAAATCACATCCATTGTTAATAAAATCGTTAGGCAAAGTTATATTATTATATGATTGAAAAAAACAAAATTTAGGTTAAACTCTGGTTGAAACTAATTACGTATTTGGATGAATTTAGGGATGAAATTGAATGATCAAAAAGTTTGGGGACCAATTTAGAATAGGGATCATACTTTGGGGATGAAATTAAAATTTTCAAAAGTTTGAGGATTAATTTAAATTTATAGTCATAGTTTAGGGATAAAATTAAAATATTTAAAAGTTTAGGGACCAATTTAAAATCCATCTCGATCGAGTTGGGTCGGAACCTGTCTAATTCAGATCAGGTGCCCATCCCTATTCGTCTCTGGATACTACTATTTTATAGTATCGATACTAAAATAAGGTTTGATATTATTAATTATCGAGATGTATAAATACCGATATTTTAAGTACCAGTATTCATCGAGTGGTATTGATACCAATGATACAGAATGTACAAAGTGGCAGTTAGTACTTCATTATTGTTTAATATACATCATTTCATTATAAAAGAAAAAAAAGTTAAAATTTAAATTATACTTTTATTTAATTCTATCTAACTGTCTCATATTTTTTTTTATCACTTGAGCATTTTTTTAAAAACAAAAGTTAAATTTCCCTTTATTTTATTGACCAAACATACTAATTTAATTTCCACATTTCAAACTCAAATTTTTCAAGCATTTACATCAAAGTTGGTATACTTTTGTAATCATACAAGCAAGATTATCGTCCATGTTCATCTCCTCTTATGAAAATCTACCTTGTGATCTAAATTATTAAGTGGCCTAAGTTTTGAATAAGTTTTAAGGTACAAAACAGTAAAAAAAAAGTCAATTTTTTATTAATATAAAATGATTATAAGATAATATATGTACAAAATTTTTTAATCATTTGATAATAAATATTTAAATACCTCTATAAATATCATGCTTGAAACCAAAGGCACCCAGGATAAGGACTATAGATGATTCGTGTAAAAAAAACCCCAGTAAAAAGGTTAAAGTAGAGAATAAATAATATATTATATTATATAGATTATGACCCAGACTCTATAGTTCCTGTTTGGGAATGTGCATGAACCTCAATTTTTTGTCTTTTTAATTTAAAATTATTGTTTTTAACTTTTGTGTCGATAATCGACCCAACCACATAATTATCCGAATTTGTTTTATAAAAATTACAAATTAATTAAATATGAAAACTGACAGATTGTTGCTTGACATACTAGCAAGCAGCAAGTTGATCCTTTATGTGACATCCATTTCCTAGGCGGCGTGGTCTAGTTTCTTTTTTTTATATAGATTTTTAATTCAATTTTTGGAGTATAGAAATTACTGAAATAGATACATAATTTCTTTTATATGATATTTTAAGTTAATGATATTTCCTTATTTTCATTTTGGTACTATAATCATATTGTTTTAATTTATAGTTTTATCAATTAAATTGGTGCAACTTGACTCGGTACATCAAATTTGATAAAAGGAAATTATAAATATATAATTTGTTAATATTATCTTTTGATGTTCTAGGTGTATTGTCAATGTTAAGAAAT